CTGGGGCGGGGCTTGGGGCCGCAATGATTGGCTGTTCCTCTGTCGACTGGGGGTGCTGGAATGGATGAAAGCAAAGCAAGCTTTTGGTCGTCACTAGGTAACGCTTCGGAATTGTTTTTTTAAGCAAAACATTTATTGGTACGTTTTTAGATATATGTAATGATAACATTCATCGGAGGGAATTTATGCCTGTTCATGGTGTATCTTGCCTCTTTTTCTCCCATTGCCCTCCCTCCACTCCTCTTTCCCCTCCTTATTTACAAAAGCTTTGTTTCTGTTTCTTCCTTTTCCACTGGACCCTTGACTTAAGAACTCGATTGGTTCCCAAGGCCTGATTGTTACGCAACTTGATTGTAAGTCAGCGCAGCTGAGATCAGGATGTTTCCTGGGTGCACGGTATACATAACAAGAGGCAGGTGATTCTTCCGCCTGAACCTATTTAACCCGAGTTGTTCCTATACAGGCCGGGCGGAACTTGAGGGTCCACTGTATTCTTTTTCCCTCGTCCTTTCTTTCCTTTCCCCCTGCTCCGTCCCTTGTTCCCCTTTTCATTTGAACATTTTCTTCCCATTTCCCAGTGTCTGTTATCCTTATTTTGTTCCTCTTTTCCACTTTCCGTTTCTCAAGCCAGAGGAACGATGCAATATTTCCACGTGTGTCCGGTTTTTCTCCCTTAGGGTATGGTCTCAGGGCGCATCCATTTAGCTAGAAACGTCTGAAGCTCACCCTTCATTGTGGCAGAGTAGTACGCCATTGTATTAAAAAAAAAAAACCCCACATCTTTATCCGCTCATCAGTTGATGGGCAATTGGGCTGTTTCTAAGATTTTGCTCTTACAGGCTGTGTCTCTATAAACGTGGGTGTGTATATACCGCTGTGGTACGATACTTTAAATTCTTTTTTTTGGTACCGGGGATTGAACTCGGGTCTTTGCGCTTGCAAGGCAGGCCACCGAACCGCTGAGCTAAATCCCCGGCCCTACGATACTTTAAATTCTTTTGGGAGGATACCAAGAAAGCTGGGTCAAGTGGAACCTCAGTTTTTTGTTTGTTTGTTTGTTTTGAGACAGGGTCTCACTATGTAGTTTAGACTGACCTGGAACTCACTATGGAGCCCAGGCTGGTCTCAAACTCACAGCGACCTTCCTGCCTCAGCCTCCCGACTGCTGGGATTACAGGCGTGCGCCACCACACCCGGCTGGAACCTCAGTTTTAGTTTTTGAGGATTCTCCGCACTGATTTCCACAGTGGTTGCACCAGTCTACACTCTCACCAACAGTGGAGAAGGGTTTCTTTTTCCTCCACAACCCCACCAACATTTCTTATTGCTTGATTTCTTGATAGCAGCCATTCTTTCTGGGGCGAGATGAAGTCTCAGCGTTGTTTTCATCTGCATCTCTCAAATGACCAGTGATGTTGAACGTTCTTTCATATGTTTATTTGCTGTTTCTACTTCTTCATCTGAGTAGTGGCTGTTCATTCAGGTACCCGTTTTTGGACATAGTCTTTAAATTTGAGTGTGTGTGGGGTCTAATTTTATTGTTTCTTTTTTGGGGGGATACCGGGAATTGAACTCAGGAGTTTGAGCTTGCCAGGCAGGCGAGGCACCACTGAGCTAAATCCCTGGCCCCTTGAGGTTTTTTGTTTGTTTGTTTGGAGACAGGGTCTCCCTGTGTAGTTCAGGCTGGACTTGAACTCACTATGGAGCCCGAGCTGGCCTCAACCTCTCAGTAATCCTCCTGCCTCAGCCTCCTGAGGGCTGGAATTACTGGCCATGTGCCACCGTGACTGGCTTGAGTTCTTTATATATTCCAGATATTAGTTCTTTGAGAAACAGGTGGCAAACATTTTTCCCACAGTTTAGGTCGTCTCTTCATTCTGTCAGTGGTATCTTTTGCTGTGCAAAGGTATTTAATGAGATGAGACCCTAGTTGTTGATTTTTTTGGTGATATTTCCTATGTGATCAGGGTTTTGTTCATAAAGTCGTCTTTGCCTACACCAATGCCTTCAAGAGTTCTACCTGTTTTGCGACCAGATTTAGTGTTTCTGTTTTAATATTTAGGTCTTTAATCCATTCTGATTTTAGTTTAGTGGACTGTGAAAGATATGGGTCTAGTCTTAATCTTTGGCATGTAGAAAACCAGTTTTTATTTCTTTATTCATTTGGGGGGCACTGGGGATTGAACCTAGGGCTGGGGCATGCTAGGTCCAGCACTATATATTGAAGAGACTGCCTTTCTTTTTGGTACCGGGGATCCAACTCAGGACCTTGTGCTTGTGAGGCAGGCGGCTGCACCAATGAGCTAAATTCCCAGACCAGGGACTATCTTTCTTCCAGTGGAGGTGCTTGGCTCCTTTGTCAAAGATAAGGTGGCTGACCCGGCGTGGTGGCACAGGACTGTAACACCAGCTCTTGGATGCTAAGGCAGGAGGATCGCCGAGCTACAGAGTGAGTTCAAGGCCAGTTTGAACTACATAGTGAGACCCTGTCTCAAAAAAACAAAAATAAAGAAACAGGAAAAAAAAAAAGATAAAGTGGCTGAGTCTCTTTGGAGTTGTTTCTTTTCTTTTTTTTTTTCTTTCTTTCTTTTTTCATTTTTTTGAGACAGGGTCTCACTCTGTAGTTGAGACTGACCTGGAACTCACTATGGAGCCCAGGCTGGTCTCGAACTCACAGCGATCCTCCTGCCTCAGCCTCCCGAGTGCTGGGATGACAGGTATGCGCCACCACACCCAGCCTAGCCATCAGCTTTTGGTCATTCATTGTGTCCCCGGTCATCTCCCCAGCCCCCTGCTCTAGAAGGAAACCCCAACACGGAATTACCTTTGCTATTCTAGGTCAAAATGACTGGAAAAGGGATCTTACTTTTCACTTAAAATTTATCTTTCAAATATATATTTCCTTGGGCTCGGGAAAAAATGTACCTCACTGGCACAGCACCTGCCTGGCAAGTCTAAGGCCATCGGTTTGATTCCCAGCACAGAGAGAGAAAGAGAGAGAGAGAGAGAGAGGGAGAGAGAGAGAGAGAGAGAGAGAGAATTAAAAGCATTGTACCACAGTGATATATGCACACCCATGTTTATAGTTTACAGTTTATAATAGCTAAATCTTGGAAACAGCCCAAAGGCCAAGCAACCAATGAATAAAGAAGATGTGGGCTTTAAAAAAATATATACAACGGAGTGCTATTCTGCCATAAAGAAGGATGAGCTTCAGATATTTCTAGCTAAATGGATGCACCTGGAGACCATAAGCCTCAGTGAAATAAATTGGACACACGTGTTTAAATGCTCCATTGTTGGACCGGGGATTGAGCTCAGTGGTGTCACCGCCTGCCTCGCAAGCGGAAGGGCCCGACTTCGATCCCTGGAACCAAAAGTAAGTAAGTAAAGAAAGAAAGAAAATTCAAAAATGAACACTGCAGTGTTTCTCTGCTCTGAGAAAGCAGAAATGGAAATCAGGACTAAAATGGATAATAGATATCGGGACATGGGGAAAAAATGTTAAAATGGGACGGCGAGGACGGGATGAGTGAAAAAAATACAGAAGGAAAACATGAAACAAAGCTTTTGCACGTAGGGAGGGGAGGGGATTGATGGAAAAAAGAGGCGGCTGTGCCGCGTACAGGCGCCGTCCGTGATGAGTGTTACTGTTACGTGTGCCTGACGTGCAGTGATAAATGCTGTGCTATGCAAAATAAACAAATAAATATTTACTCTTTAAAAACATCTCTTCTTTTCCCCCTTCTGCCCTTCTGGAACTTGGCATTGAAACCGAGACGTTCACACGGAGGTATAGCCCCTGGCTTTTATTCTTTATTTTGAGCCAGTGTCTCTCTAACTCGATAATTGGCCCAGGTTAGGCTCAAACTTGTGATTCTTCTGCCTCAGCGTCCGGAATGCTGGGATGATAGGTATACACCACTGTGCCTGTCTATGTGTTACTTTTATAATTGAGTTAAAAGAAGACAGGGCCCAGGGATTTAGCTCAGTGGTTCTGCCACCTGCCTCACAAGTCCAAGGTCCTGAGTTTGATGATCCCTAGTTCAAAAAAAAAAAAAAAAGAAACAAACAAAGAGAAGATAGTCCCTTTATATTTCTGTTTTTCCTATTTTTAAAATTTTGATATGGTCTCACTATGTAGCCCAAGCTGGCCTCAAACTTGTGGCGATCCTCCTGCCTCAGCCTCCTGGGTGCTGGGATTACAGGCCTGCACTGCCACACCTGGCTGCCTATTCATTTTTACATGATGCCAGTTCAAACAACACGTGTAGATGTCTGTCACCATACATAAATTCCTTGACATTTCACTGAGCGCATCGCCAAGTATAAAAATAGTGGGACTTTTTCTCTTTTCACCATGGAAATCATTTTCAGATCAAAATGAACTTCAGCCTAAAATGCTGCTCATTCAAAATTTTCTCTTATAAGGGCTGGGGAGTTAGCTCAGTGGTACCACCGCCTGCCTCGCAAGCACGAAGTCCTGAGTTCGATCCCTGATCCAAAAAAAAAAAAAAAAAATTGAGTAGGAGAAAGTAGACCGAGAAGCAGG